GTTTCCAAAGCTTCATTTCACTTTTTTATCACTATTGGCGTGGAGATTCAAGGACTCTCCTTCATAGATTTTAGTGGATTAAATGTAGTGTTTGCTCCTATCCATGTTTTGTGCGTAATGTGTTTTGCTCTAATAGCAACAGTACTTCTAGCCATTTTGGCATTGTTGTCTTTGGTTTGGAACACCTTCTCTTTCGATGGAGATTAAGCGACGATTAATATAAATTTTAGTTTGTTTAAAAAGAACAATTGAATCGATAAATTAAATTGTCGTTCATGAAACGAGAGTCCAAGTCTTATGTGATAGAGCTTAGAAGTAGAATCAGCTCTGGCAACAATGAAATGCCATACCCTAAGATTTTACAGAGAGAATTGAAGACGAAGAAGATTACACAAATTGATACTTTTCTGGTTCTATCTTCACAGCTGATCTTTTTCTCTCCTTTATACGCCTCTCCTCGATCTAAGTATTCTTTTCTTTCAGGCCAATAAAGTTCTCCCACGTGTCTAGCACCTTGTTTCCTTCTCACGTGCCACTCTTCTTATCTCCTTTCCTGTATCATAAAAGGAGATGTGGAGAAGATGAAACGATTTTTTTTTCATTTTAAGTTTTGATAAAACTATATTGGTAACCATTATATTAGTCTTTATACTATCGACAAAAAAGGGATATGTCGTCGTGATTGAAGTCCTTAATTCAGAGAATGACGAAATATCCGGTATGTGTTAATCTATCTCTCCAGTTGTAGGAAAAAAAAGCATATATAGGATCCTTTGCACAAAGGCCGAATCATATAAACTGTTAGCCCATGAAAATAAAGCCCATTCTCAAACCTATCTAGCCTCCCCATATATATATAAATATATACGGGACGAAAAGGTTTCCTCCGTCAGGAATTTCGAAACCCTAACCGTCGTAGTCGATTTCGAGATCCAACTTATTTCACAGGTAAATTTCTCGCTCCTGTTCTCTCTGTCGCCTTTGAAAATATATCGGAAACGATTCCGGCCGTGTTCCAATCTCTCTGTCAATCTGAATAGTGCGGTTTTATTTGAAGGGTCGTCTCGTGAATGATGGATCATGCTACGGAGGAGGAGGCTAGGGCTGCAACAACGGTCTTTTGGGACATCATGAAGTGTCCGGTTCCCGATGGCTTAAATCCTGGTCTGGTCCTTCCGTGTATTAGGCGGTTTTTGGATAGGAATGGCTACCGTGGTCCTCTCACCGTCACTGCCTTTGGCAAACTATCCGACGTACCTACTGAGATCCTGAGACAAGTCTATTCCAGTGGAATCTCTCTTTCCATCGTCACCCCCTGTTAGTATCTTTTCTCATCCTTAATTATTCCTTTCTTCTAATATAGTTGATCTTATGTCTCATGCCTTTAGATTTATCAAACAGGTCACTTAGACATTTCAGACCTCGTAGATACAAATCCAACTCCAGCTAATTTTATGGCCATATCTGCCAAAGACGCCTACCCTGGTTTTTTTAGGGTTCTAAAAATGTTTGGCTATAACCCTCTCGAGCCGTTTCCATTTTATTCTTTTGACAGCTTAGGTATGTGTTTGTTCTCTCTCACTGTCTTCTTTGATGAAAGAACCCACAAATGTATCTGTATCAACTGCCTATATATTTTTCCCACAGATTTAAACGCACTTGAGGAGAAAACAGGGGAATCTGCCTTGTGGGATTGCTTTGTATGCGCCCGTGATCCTCCTCAACAAAGCTTTGATAATCTCATCGCTCATCTATCTTGTGAAGAACATCTTCGAAACTTTCATCGCTCCATGGTAATCATCCTAGCATTGTATCAATACATTTTCTCATTGCCACTACTAGTCACTTACTTGTTTTGACTCCATGGTCATTTGTCCTTCAAGGAAATGGAGGCTAGGAATACTGCGCCTCCTCTTCCAGTTGACACTGTCAAGGTGAGGATGCCACCAAATTCTTGTTTTAATTTCTAAAATTTTAGCATTGTTTGCTTAATTCTGACCCCATGTTGTTTTTTCTCCACTGGAGGTGAATTCGCCTGTCAAAAAAAGTCTGAAGCTGACAAACGTTCTACCACCTGATAATAGACTATGCTGGGAGGATGTAAAGAGGACTCATGACACAATTGTCGTTTGGGACATCAATACGTGTCCAGTTCCCCCTGGTTTTGATGCTAGGATGGTCAGTCTGCACATCAGACATTTCTTGTTTAAAAAAGGCTACTTTGGTCATGTCAAAATCATTGCCATTGGCGTTCTAACAGACGTTCCTGAAGACATTCTGGGAAAAGTCTATATCACTGGAATCGGTCTTCATAATGTCCCATACGGTTAATATCTTCTCATCCTTAGTCCTTTCTACAATAATGGATGTTTTCCTTGAATAGAGTCTCAAATCTTTAGTTTCTTAAACAGGTCCCTCAGACACTGTGGAGTTCGTTTCTGAGCTTTTCAATAATAGTGGTCCTCTACTTAACGTAATGGTCATATCCAATGCCAAAATCTTTGCTTATCCTGCAACCTATCTACCAGGGAGATGCAACCTTGTGCAGCATTTTCCCTATGATTCTCTTCAATGGTTTTTTCGGCCAGGTATGTGTTTGTCCTCACTTGCATTGTTTTCTAAATAACATGCTGTTCACCTGACTACTTTTATTTTTTTCCATAGACTCAGGGGCACTTGAGGAGGCTCAGAGCAGTCCACCTGGTGAACTTGCCAGTTTCTTCTGCTCAGTATGCAATTATCGTAGTGCTCCTAATACAGACTTTCTTTGTATCACCAAGCATCTCTCTGGTACATACCATCAACCGAAGGTAATCATTGTTTTGTTTTGAGTCAAACGAATTGAGAAACCTCTTACCTCAAGTAGTTTACCATTCTGTCTTCTTCTAGTTTTGTTTGTCCAAAATTGTACCCCATGTTGTCTTTAATTTCCTGGCAGGTAAGCAACTCCAATGCTTAAGCTCACCTCTAACTGAGCCTCATGAGAAAGACTTCGGAGCTGTAACATCGGTCTTTTGGGACATCAAGAAGTGTCCGGTTCCACCTGGCTGTGTTCCTCGTCGGGTCGGTCCGTGTATTAAACAGTTTTTGGAGAATGAAGGCTACTATGGTCCTCTCACCATCACTGCCATTGGCGTACTAACAGATGTACCTAGTAACATCCTTAAAGAAGTCTATTCCACTGGAATAGACCTTAATCTCATAGCCTCTGGTTAGGATCTTCTCACATTTGTGCCTTTCTCATTAGTGGATGGTTTCTTGGTTAGATAGTGAAGTCTTTAGTTTCTGAAACAGGGTTTTAAGCCACTTTGGATCGCTTTATCTGTGAGTTTAGTGTTAAGAATCCACCTCCAGCTAATATAATGGTCATATCCGACGCAATGTCCTTTGCTTCTGTTCATGCTTTCCGGTTAGAAATGATGGGATACAACATTCTTCTGCCGGTTCCATCTCATTCTTTTGAAGGCTTTTTCCGGGCAGGTGTGTTTGTCCTCTCTAACGGTGTTGTTGCAAGAAACAGCAATACCGGCTACAATCTTTTGGTCAACTAACTGGCAATTTTTATATATTTTTCCACAGATTCGGGAGCACTTGAGGAGGATAAGTGCAGTGAAACGAGTGAATCTGCCTTCTGGATTTGCTCGGTATGCTCCGACAATCATCATGGCCAAGGGTTTGAAAATTTTACCACTCATGTTACTAGTTGGCCACACAAGCGGAAGGTAGTCAAGCATCCTAGCCAAACCTGATGGACTTGTATTAATACATTTTGTGGTTGCTCACAGTCTGTTTTGTTTGCCTAATTTTGACCTCCCTGCCTTTATTTTCTTAAGCAGTTGTTGGACTGGTTGCTGCGAAAGCTCGGTTTCTTCTAAGGGAGTGTGGTCCAAACCGTGGTATCCAAGGCAAGCTATATTGTATCTGATAACGTTGAGATTTCTCTAATCATAAAGGATTCTGGGGTTTTCTTACTGAAACTTAAAAATATTGTAGCGAAAGTGAATGAAGTGTGGACGTGAAGAAGAAGAAGATAGAAGAAAAAGAACTGAAGAAGGCCCATGGTGGGTGTTTTTTAACCAAGAAAACTTGCGTTTATTTACAAGTCCTTTGTTGTTTTGTTTTCAATTAACTAAAAGGGAATAGCAACTCAACCTATGGACCAAAAAAAGAAAATGGTGGTTGGTTTTAGTGTTACATACTCTTTTATATTAGATGTTTTGCTTCACTCTGAAGTAGTAAATTATTAGTTGCATTTTCATTTCACAATAAAAGTAGAAGAAAGAAGGACCCGAGAGCGACACAAAAAATCAAAAGATTGATTTTCTAAGGATGCAATAATTTATTGGCCTTTGTTCACAGAATATTCAGAAAAGCAAAAACACTACAAAAAAAGCATATATTGTGACAAATAAATTGTGACCATTTGTGAGGTCACAAAATTATGACGATTTACATACCAAAATGTGACGTATATAAAATGGTCGTAAATACGTAACAATTTAGTTATAATACTATGACTGATTTAAAGGTAACTAATTTTGGTCACTATTTATGTCGATTTTGTTACAAAATATATAGTCACAAATATAATTACGGTGCTGTGACCAAATAAGGTAACTAAATTATACGATTTTGTGACTAAATTGACGTAACTTCTTGTTACAAACGATTTGTAACTACCTTGTCACAATTATTTACTGTTTTTTTGTAACTTTTGTATTTAGCCATAATTGTGACAAAATTATTACCACTTTTGTGACTACACTAAAAATACGTGAATTTAAAATTAAATAAGAAACTATCATAAATTTTGGAAAGAATAAAAAGAAATAAAAGTATAAAAAAATCGAAAAGAGTACAAATGACACAAAAAAAAGTTTTAAAAATATCAATCAGATTCGTCAGAAGTTAATTCGATATCAGAATTCCCGTCTTCAGCATCTGATCCAACTTCTTCTTCTACTACTGGATCATCAAGGTCATCTGGTTGGCCATCTAGATATGATAGTGACTCGACGTCCAATGAATCAGACTGGACAACAGAATTATCGTTATCATGTTGCATTGCAGTGAAATCCAGATTTTGGTTGACCAATACTTTTCCTCTCGGTTGTATCATAATTGCTGCTTCCCATTGTTGATCTTTTTTTGCCCGATTCATCCGTGGATAGGGAACATAACATACTTGATCTGCTTGTGAAGCCAAAACAAAAGGATCGTACTTCTCATAATGCCTTTTAGCATTAATATCGATAATACCTGACTTGTTTATTCTTATACCTTTCCCAATGGTTGAATCATACCAATCACATTTGAAAACCACGACTTTAAGATCAACTGGTCCAGGATAATGAAGCTCATAAATCTCTCTCAATACTCCATAGAATTCAGCAGCTTCTTTACTTGAGCTAGAAGATGTTGTACCTTTCACACAAACTCCATAATTGGCATTTTTTTTATCTTTCCCATGATCATATGTGTGAAATATATATCCACGACAAAAATACATTGGCCAACAAGTAACTTGAACCATTGGACCATGAACGAGACTCAACAACCACTTTGGATATGAATTATCCTTCCAAGTATCCTCCACCTATTTTAAAAATCCCATATATACAACACAAACTACAACATAAGCTTAATATATCATATATATATCACATGCTATTAAAAATTTAAACACTTACATGTTTCTGTAACCAGCTTGAGTATTGCTTTTCTCTAAGCTCAATTAGATTATTTTCATTTATCCCAGGATTAGCCGCAATCATGCTCTCATCAAATAACCTATATATATACGTAAGGAGTAATTACGAACTCTTCTGCTTATGTAAACAAATATATAATTAAAGTATATATGTGCATATAATATTTTCATACCTTTCAAAAGATCTTAATTCATCGCAGTTCCGCAAAATATATGTATGTGCGATATTGTGATCTTTATCTTGGAGCCATATTTGTGTTTCTTTACCACTGCCCCTCCCTACTTGAGAAAATATATCTGGAATTCCATCAAACTCATGTGTATCGTATTGATTACCTCCATCATAGTGTCGATCTCCGGTTCGATTTTTTGTCTTGATGTGTGGTTCAAAGTAATAAGTACAAAAGGTAGATATTTCTTCATTGATGTATTGCTCAACAATTGAACCTTCTACCTTTGCCTTGTTTTTCACCTTCTTCTTTAGATGACCCATGTATCGCTCAAAACAGTACATCCATCTAAACTGCACAGGTCCACCAAGGGTAGCTTCGTGTGGCAAGTGAATTACCAAGTGTTCCATGACATCGAAAAAAGAAGGAGGAAATTTTTTTTCGAGATTACAAAGAACTATACAAATATTTTTTTGCAGCATTGCAACACCATCTTTGTGTATAGTTTTTGCGCATAGGTCCCGAAAAAATAAGCTGATAACTACAAAAAAAAAAGATAGTTATATGAATAAAATTCTAGCAAAAAAAATGATAAACAGATGCCTTAGATCACTTTAACTCGTTTAACAAACATAATAATGACTTAATATAACCATGGGTTCTCATGTCTACGTAGCTTTAACCTATTTTATGAGATACTTATATCCACGTCTACGTTAAACACTTAGACACTAAGACACATAGGGTTTTTATACGATCAACACATACCACAATTGATATGTACTCAGACGTATGTGTCGGTTAAATCCAATCTTGGTCTACCTTGTTTAATAGTTCCACAATTGATATGTAATCAGACGCATCTAAATACTTAAGATTAGAGTACATATCGGTTTACTTAGAATCCTCATATCACGTCAAAATAGCAGTAAACACGTTGTCGTCATGTCGAGTGACCAAAGCATCTACGTTTCTTTGAAGATCTCTATTATTTCGTAGATTAATTTTGATAACCGTTCTTAACAAATATACGTTAAACATTAACACATACATGTTAATGTTTTAAAAAAAATCAGGTTCAGTGTCTACTCTTCATCAACATATACGTTAATAGGTTTTTAATGATCATATTTTTCAAATATATTGAACAAGTATGTATAGCAAAAAATTAATTTTAAAATATTGAGATAAATAAAATAAATTAAATAAATGCTGAAAACTTACTTGAAAGTGCTTCGTGTACAGATTTATCCAAAAGCTCAGCAAATGCAACTGGAAGTAATCGTTGCATTAAAACATGACAGTCATGACTTTTCATTCCTGTTAGTTTTGTCCCAACTAGATCAACACAGTTTGATAAACTTGATGAATATCCATCTGAAAATTTAACATCCTCGTGGAGCCATCGTAAAAATACTGCTTTGGCTTCTGGTTGTAGTCTAAAAATTGGGATTGGTGCCTTTCCATCAGCTGTTAAGTGCAACTCTTTGCGATTACAGTGCTCTTGCAAATCAAGTCGTGATTTGATGTTATCTTTTGTTTTTCCCTGCACATTCAGTAAAGTATTGATGATATTATCGAGAAAGTTCTTTTCAGTGTGCATCACATCCAGATTATGTCGAAGTTCAAGATCCTTCCAATAAGGTAGCTCCCACAAGATGCTTTGCTTATGCCAGTTGTGCGTTTTACCGTATCCTTGCAATCGTCCATGGTTCCCTCCGCAATCAACTGTTTTTGGTAAATAGTTGACTTCATTAAAAAGCTCCTCGCCTGTTAATATCTTTGATGGACTATCATCTACAACCCTTCCTTTTTTGAATTTTTTTTTATTCCGCCGGTAGCTATGATCAACTGGTAGAAAACACCGATGACAATCAAACCAACTTGTCTTCTTACCATTTTTTAACCAAAATGCCTCAGTTTGATCCAAACAATAAGGACATGCCAACCGACCATGAGTTGTCCATCCAGAAAGCATACCATACGCTGGAAAGTCGCTTATTGTCCACATGAGTACAGCTTTTAAGAGAAAGTTTTCTTTAGTAGAAATATCATATGCTTCAACACCATTAACCCACAAATCTTTCAACTCTTCTATCAATGGTTGGAGAAATATATCTAGACTTCTCTTAGGATGATTTGGCCCAGGAACTAGAATGGTTAGGAACATAAATTCTTGCTTCATACACATCTCAGGTGGCAGATTATACGGTGTCAATATAACAGGCCACAAAGAATAATTATGTCCTGACATTCCAAAAGGATTAAAACCGTCTGTGCATAGTCCTAGGTAAACATTTCTTGGTTGAGATGCAAAATCAGGGTGTACCTTGTGAAAATGCTTCCATGCTTCTCCATCTGATGGATGACACATTTCTCCGTCTTTTTCTAAGTGGTCAGCATGCCATCTCATATCTTTTGCAGTATTACGAGACTGGTATAATCTCTTCAGTCTATTGGCTATCGGCAAATAAAACATCTGACGATGTGCAATTCTTTTCTGCCCAAACTTCTGCTTAGGACGAAATCTATCTTTTTTACAGAACAAACAATACTCTTCCTTCTCAGTTTCTTTCCAGAATATCATGCAATTATCTTGACAAACATCAATTTTATGATAAGGTAAACCCAAAGACCGCATAAGCTTCTTGATATCATAGTAGGACTTTGGTGAGTGGTTACCTTCTGGCAAATATTCTTGCATCATCTGAGCAATTGAGTCCATACAATTTTGAGATAGATTATAATCCGTTTTCAAACTCATAAGCCGAGCTGCTAAAGAGAGTTTCGAAAGACCTTCTTTACATCCATCATAAATTGGTTGTTTCGCAGCATCCAGAATATCATAAAACATTTTTGCCTCGGGATTAGGCTCTTCTTCCGACCTCTGATCAAAAGCTGACTCTGTATTAGCAAATGCATCTGAAACCATTTCCTCATAAGGATTCATTGGCTCTGTGTGAGATTCTGGCCTGGAAACATTTTCTTCATAATCATTGTCAAACATATCATAATCTTCACCATGAGAAGTCCAAACCCAATAGTTAAGCATAAACCCTTTGTTGAATAAATGTGCTGACACAATATGCTCTTCTTGTAATTTTCCTCCGTTCTCACACTTAACACAAGGACAAAAAAGTTTTCTATTCTCCAAAAATAGAGGCTGACTTTTTGCAAACTTAAAAAAAGTTTCCAAACCTTGACAATAAGTTTCTGAAACTTTTTTGGTTGTGTGATCGATTCGTTCATACATCCAACGCCTTCTATCATATATATCACTGTTAAATGACATTTTGATTACCTGAAAAAAAATTGAGAAAATAAAGTCAAGATAGCATGCTAAAAGGTGTTGACAGAAAGAAAGGCATGCCAAAATTATTTTATCCAAACGAGTAGTAGAACTTCATTAAGACAGATCAAATGCAAACATACCGAACGCTTATGGTTGCAATTTGTCTTCTATCGGAGACGTCTACTGGACTGAGAAAAATAAACCAACAAGCTATTAGTGTAAACTAAGATATGAAACTCTTTTAAACAGTTGTGGAGTAAAGAGAAGTGTCTAAGAAAGAGCAGCGGAAACTAGAAAGGTAAGAATTGAAGAAAAAGAGAGTAATGGATGCATAACAAGAACATTAATCAAATTTGGAAGGAAAAAAAGACATGGAAAGGGGTACGGAAGATGCTTTGTTCAGGTGCCAGCATAAAAATGCAGTTCACATGTAAAGAGCAAAAGCAAAAACGCATAATTGGTCTTCTTTATGAACAGGTAACTCCTCCAGAGGCATGGATTTTGATTCTGATGGTTTCAGGCTAAGCAAATTCTAGAGATGCCTATTTTCTAATCAATAAGACCCAGGAGTGGGTTTTTAAATATCCCACTTCGACATGTTATACATAACACCATGAATACGTCCGTAGCTTGGTCGTATCCCAAAAAACTTTTTACGACAGTTTTTTGATGATCCGCTTCGATCTCCGGTAAAGTCCTAAACGTTATAATTCTTTCTATAAAATAAACAATTTGGTCTTGCTAAGTGGCTAACCTTTGTGATTAATAATCCTGTAGTGTTCGTTGGGTGATGATGACTTGATTCTTCTGAGTTTTGGTCTGAATCATTAATAACCCTATAAACTTTAACAAAAACTATATACGTCACTTTTGTGTTTCTTAAGTTTTGGTGACTAAGTCTAAGGTTGATCAAATCTTCCTAGATTTAAGGAAATATATATTTAGTTGTTAAGTTTAAGTCGTTTTTTTTTCTTTGTGACAAATTTTAGCTTAAGTCGTTGTTTTTACTATTTTTGGCTTTGAATATTTTATATCATTAGATTTATTTATTTAGTTTGTTATATTTCGGTTGCTATATATTTACTCATAAACTAGGTTCGGACCCGCGCTACAGCGCGGGGGAAATAATTACATATATATAACTTTTAACGGATTAGAATATGTTACATATTAATTTTGTTAGAATGCAGTCGATTACGGTAAATCATATATTTTTATAATATGTTTAAATCAAATAATAAAAGAAAAAGCGAGTAAATAATCATATACTGAGTTTTGATACAATTAAAAACACGGTGAAAATTTAACAGCACGAAATAATATTTGTCGATAAATTATTCATTTTGACTATTTTTGTAGTAAAAGTAGGAATATACGTAAAATTTACATATTTACAATATTGTTTTTTGAAAGTCCAACTCGTAACAGAATTCATTTCGTAAAAAACATTATTCGTAACTCGCTTTATCATTATAATTGTGATTTTAACAAACTACCCGTGAATTATCTAAAATTTACATAGTTTGATATATAATATATTTTATCAATAAAAATTATGTCTCCAAAATTACATTTATGTCGTCAAAAAAATATTTCAATATTTTAAATTATAAATGTTTTATATATTTGAACCTTATATTTATAATATTTTAAAACTATTTGAAATTTTAAATATACTCATGTAACAATGGTTTTAATATTGGTCATACTTATAATGATTTTAAACCATTGTCCAAAATATTTAACCGAGTGTAGTTGAGTATTATATGTCCGTTTTGAAAAATTCAAATTGCAACATATGCAAAAAAAGTTAAATTTTTATTAAATATTTATATTATATAGTATAATATCATAAATTAAAAATAATATCAAATAAAAGTGAAAGAAGAATAATATTTTTAAATAGATTGTATTAAATTAGTTAGAGAAATATTAGTAAATCATATAATTAGTTATGGAAATAATACAATCCTAAAATTAGATTTGGAAAGTATCCGGTGTATGTATCCAAACCCATTAATCTATCCAATTTTAAAAGATCCAATTACAAATTTCGGGTAATTTTTTAAAATTGACCCAACCCAGAACCACTTTTTGTACTTCTCTTTTACTAATATAGGGATTTTTTGTTGGAGAGTTTTGTTGTTCTATAGTGCAATGGATTTTGCTACAATTTCTGGTTAGTTATTTACTCTCAGTTTTTCGTTCATAGATCTGTTAAAGCATTAATTTTTCGTAATTACGTTGTATGTTTGCTGATTTATATTGATATTGATTTATGTGGATTCCATGTTTATAGAAAAAACAAAACAAGAAACAAATGAATTGGAAAACGTTCAAAATGGGGAAGAAGTGCTAATTGTTCAAAAAACGGATCAGAAGAAAAAATTTCAACGAAGATTTGATCTAAACAAAACATTTTATTATGAAGATGGAGGAGAGTTCCATCCCGGAGATGGAGAGTTTCAATCGGGAGATGGAGTTGTTCAAGAATTGGGCAAAGAGAAAAAAGTTCAACATGAATTCGATTTAAACGAACAGAAGATTTACTATGCAGATGGACAGCTTCACCCCGATAAAGAAACGCAAAAAGTTATAATAGATATGCTTAAAATATATATGCCAAATCATTTTGGATGAAGAATAGTTCATTTTTTTGTTTATTTGGTTCTTTGTATCTTATGCAACTTGAATAATGCTCTGTTTTGTCTGTAATAAAATGTTATGTTGTCTTTCTCAACATACTAGCTTGGGAGAGGAACCGGTTTGTCATAAACGATCCATCGCTAAGAGACGTTAACAAACGTTGATGTACACATGATGTTTTCGTGTTTGTTTTTTGGTTTTGGTTTCTCTCTTTTTGTGTACACATGTGTAGAAAGACACAACCTCTCTCTTGTTGTGTATAAGTATTTAAACACATAGTATCGTTATTGTAAAACTCAGTTTCAGTTATTAATAATATCACAAGTTTCTCTAAATACTCTGTTTTTTTTTTATCCCACAATCTTTAACTTCTTATTAAAGGCAAGACTTAACACATGGTTACATGGAAACAAACAAACACTTACGTAGACGAGAAGATTCACATGGTCATCGTCATCCCGTTAAATAAACAAGGACTTACATACGACATGAAGAAACTAAACACAACCTATATATAACTACTTCATGAAAAGACTTTAAACCGGATTCTTTCAATATTACATCCGTGGGAAGGAAGTTTCGATTTAAATATTAGGTCTTGGTCCTGAATTTGGATTCGTCTATCTCGTCTCCTTCATCCTCAGCGTTTTCACCACCAGGCTTGTCTCCAGTGCTTAGACCACCTTTGCGTCCCATCTCCTGATATCCTTCGGTTCCTAACTGCTCCTTTCGAGTTTGTCCTCCTCGGCTCCTCCCTTCAGCGAGATGTTGTTGAGCTTCTAAGCTTTTGCCTCCAGTGCCACCTGGTACGACAGTCTCTGTCTTCTTCGCCCTATCGTCCAGCTGCTTCTTCTCTTGTTGAGATGCCATTGCACTATACTTTCTTACAACACAGTTTATTTAAACGCTATAGAAAAACCAAACCAAATTCACAAAAGACTTTGATGATGATGATACTCTGTTTCGTTTGTTACTTATCATCTATAAAACAGAGCAACAAGTACAACGCTTGTTTTTGTTCTTTGTGAGAAAGAAGCTTTACCTTCTAAATATTTTGTTATATTTTTGTTGAGAGTTAAAGGTTTTTTTATCGGATGTCCCTGAAGGGACGAGTTAAAGGTTACTTTCAAAGTTGAATCTTATACTTTATTTTGTCTTATATTTTGTTGAAACAAACGAACATAATAATAAAAAAAAAGATATGATGAACACGTGGTCACTGTTTTGTATGTCACGTTGATAAGCTTTAGCTTCTAATATCAAATATATATCCTCCTGATTTGGTTTTGGACCGAAAAACCAATTTCATTAGCAAAAGCTTCTAATTTAGAAAACCAATAGCTAATGAACCGATTGCAATCGAACCAGATTGTCAAAATAACCGGAATCGTTCTTTTAGGTTACTATCTCTGTCCGAAACACTCAGAAGCCTCCATTTTCGGATGCGCATTGTACGGATTGTAAGAAGGAGACGAAGTTGGTGTTCGATCACTCAGCTGGGGATATCCTTTGCACCAAGTGTGGTTTGGTTTTGGAATCTCACTATATTGATGAGACCTCTGAGTGGCGTACCTTCGCTAATGAGTCTGTCTTCTAACAGCGATCCCAATCGTGTCGGTGGTCCAACCAACCCTCTTATCGCCGGTAGTGCTCTAACCACTGTCATCGCCCAGCCCAATGGTTCCTCGGGTGACTTCTTGTCTTCTTCTCTCGGGAGGTGGCATAATCGTAACTCCAACTCCGATCGTGGCTTGATTCAAGCGTTTAAAACTATCGCCACCATGTCTGAAAGGTAGTCCGATTTCTCGTTTATCCCCCTTTTGAGATCCCGTTCTGAGATTGGATTTGGACTTTATAAAGAATTGAAACTAGTTAGATCACATGATTTCTAATGAGGGCATGATTTATAAGATTTGTATGAAATTGCTTTGATTTATCGAGCAACTTTTGTTATTTAGGACTTTGTTAACGGATCCACCTCTTGCAGAATTGTTATACATTCATTACAGAACAACTATACATTTGAGAAACCACATTGTCAAACCAAAGGAGGTTCTTTTTTATTGTTTATCGAGAGTTTTGCCTCCCTTGCTTTTTATGTGTTCTAATGTTGTGTTTGTCTGTACATAAAGAGGTGTTGTTGCTGCTGTTGGTTTAGAGTGTTTCGATTCATGTTTTGCTGTGTGATCCGTGTGAGAATGAATACTCACTTGTTGATATTATTTCCAGGTTCGGACTTGTTGCGACTATCAAGGGAAGGTAGTTCGTCTGTGTATATGTCAATATGTCCTATTGTGGCGTATCATCATAATTTGGTTGAACAGGTACTCTCTAATTCTTGTTTTTGATAAAGGATTTGCTTTTCAGTGTCGGTTTTGATGATGGATCATTTGCTTTGTTTGATTTAGTTAAAATATAAGGTTAAAGAGTATATTTAAGTCACAGCTACAAGATCTAGTTCAAGTACTGGTCATCTCTTGCTTTAAATTAAATGTAATATGCATATAAGTTAATACATTAAGCAAATCAACCGTATTATTATTTTTTAGATCATTAAAATCTTCTTTTTTACTATTAGCGCTTTAATTTTTAAGAAGTAAACCTAAAATTTTCATTCACCGCTTTAAATTTTGCCAAAATTTCTCTAGCTCATTAAAAATCCCTAAAACTGTGTGAAAACTGGAAACTATTTAACCATCTCCCTTAACTTCTCAGATCATTCTCGACGCCACTTCTCTTTTAGAAGACCTATTGGGTTCTTATTCACTCAAGAGATCTCACTGAAAGGTACTTTTACATATTTTTAGGGTAAATCTAGATGTTAAACTTCTAATCAGTTTTCAATTCTCTGTTCAAATCTCCCTTTGGCTAGTATAGATTTTAAAACTTTCTGATCCAGTTGAAACTCTAATCTCTGCTCAGATCTCCCTGTTTCTAGTTGAATATTTTAAACTTCTAATCCTTAAAACTCTAATCTCTGCTCAAATCTCTCTGCTGGTAGTCTATATCTCTTACAGTTATATCACGTACTCTTGATACTAGATTTTTTACAGTTTACAAATTCTCTTGATACTAGGTTTTACAAATCTTTGTTAATCCCTCTTAGTCTAGATTAGAATGTGTAATCTAGATAAGAGACATAATCAAATCTGTGTTAGTCTCTCTTATATCTGTTTTTAGTAGCTTTACACATTCTTTACTCACAGGTTTTACAATTCTCTGTTAATCTATAGTGTCAGTTTGAATTCTTTGTTAACCTCTGTTATTCTAGATTACAGTTCTTTTGTAAATCTGTTTGTCTTTGATCTATTCTGTAAAAGTTTACTAAATGTTTTGAACTTGGAACAGTTTGTAAAATTGGAGATTAACAACTTGTGAATGTTCATCTGTTTTATAGTGGACAAATGGAAGAGCCATATGTTGATCGTTCAAGTCTGCCTGTGCTGCATCCTTCTCGGTTGAATGGAGCTAAATGGTATCGACTTTTTACTTTAAATACCACTGATTTATAATAACTCAGAACATAATTTATTTTAATGGAGCAGGTTTAAACACCACACCGAAGTATCAACTGCTGTGAGAAAAGTCATTCAAGGTTGCTTTAAGGGAGCATGGTACTCATGGAGGAAAGTGCCAGGCTTTTACAAAAGAACTTGGTTTTCACTGTTTCAGGTTCTATTCTCTTTTATAGTTTATCAATGTTTTATGAATGATTTAAATTTTTACTGATCATAAGCAATTATTTTGCTTTCCAGAAAAAGTTTAATTGGGAAGCTGCTATCAACTATCAAGTTGAAAGAGAGTTCAACAAGCTTGCTGCATATCGCCTCAAAGGAATGATAAGCTATGTAAAGAATGGAGGAGAAAAACCAGACTGGATTTTGCTTGAACATTGGACAATTATGCAAGGACATTGGGCAACAGCAAAAGTAAAGGCAATTAGTGAGAAGGCTCGTAGATCTCGACTGTCTGATCGCAATGGTTTAGGGCCACATTCTCACCGAGCGGGTTCACGTTCATTTGTCAAAGTTCAAGACACTTTGGTAATGTTTACAATAAAAGTTTCAAATTTGATTTCTGTTCTTTATCATTTTTGTACATGTTCACTTAGTTTTACTGTTTTGTTTCTAGGAAGCAAACAATGAGGACTACTCTTTTATTGCTGTGATGAAGAAAACGCATCAAAAGCCCGATGGAACATATGTTGATCAACGAGCACAGTTGGTCGCAGAAATTTATGAGAAGCATGTGCAAGAACGTTTGGGACAACGTGAATCTGCTGGTGAAGAGAATGTGACTGCTGAGACTCTTGACAAGAATGAGAAAAATGAAATCTACATCAAGGTACAATTTCAAAAACTTGTGTTTCTTTCAGATTTTTCTGCGATTATATAGTGATAAGTTTAGTTTAGTATGGCTGGATCAAATTACGTGTGATGAAAATTGTTTGCTGAGAATTACTTGTTGTCAAATTGTTTTGTGTGATTAGATTTTTCTGCGATTATATAGTGAGAAGCTTAGTCACCATATAACTATATATTACGTGATGAAAATTGTTTGTTGAGAATTACTTGTTGTTAAATTGTTTTGTGTGATCAAAATTGACTTACGTGAGAATTACGTGATGAGTTACGGTGATGAGTTACGTGTGATGAGTTACGTGTGATGAGTTACGGTGATGAGTTACGTGTGATGAGTTACGTGTGATGAGTTATGTGTGATCAAAATTGTAAGCTCATGTGTATTGTTTTAATTTCTAGGCTGCTGGACCATCTAAACAAGGTCATGTCTTTGGACTTGGAGCCCTAAGTGAAATTTTACCATCTGTTGGTGCTTCTTCAAGCGCATCACAAACTTTTGAAGAAGTAGAGACGATCACACATCGTGTGCAAGAGATGGAAACTGATCTGAAAAAAAGCCTTGAAGAAAATCAGCAGATCCAAAAAAGACTTGAAGCTATGGAGAAACTTGTTGAATCTCTTGCAAGCCAAAATGCCTAAACTCAACTCCATTACCAAAACAGTCCACCCCTTTGTCTAGTTGCTGTTTTCTTTAGTTTTTAATTTCCTTTGGGTTGCTTTGTCTAGTTGCTGTTTTCTTTAGTTTTTAATTTCCTTTAGGTTGTGTTTTTGGATTAACTTTGTATGTGAATGTTGTCAGTTTGTTATGTATATATATCGTTGTTTGCTTGTTAATTTTCAATGTAGTTTTTTTTTCTATTAAAGATTTTTTTAGGAAATTTGGAATTGTTTAGTGACGTAACTTTTTGTCAGTTTTCAAGAAAGTTAGGTAACAATTTGTTACAAGAAAAATGTCACAAAAATATAAAATTGTGACGATTGTGTGACAGCAATCAAGTCACTAATTATGTCGGAATAGTGATGTTAATTTGGTCGCAAATTGTGACAAATTAGAGACTCAATGATGGTTATAATTTGTGACAAATATGTGACAATTTGTAAGTCATAAATTGTTTCATATTTGTGACAGTTTTTGGGTCACATTTTGTTTCATATTTGTGATTATTTTACCGTCACAATTAGTATCATATTTGTAACCATTTGTGGGTCACTTTTTGTATCATATTTGTGACTATTTTTTCGTCACATTTTGTATCATATTTGTGACAGCTTTAGTCGTCACGAATTGTGTCTATTTGTGACTATTTTAAATCTGTCACAAGTAGTAACGATTTGTTACCGTTATAAACCGTCGTAATATGTTGTGACTTTTTTGTGACTAACATCAGTTTGTGACGATTTTATTGTGACATATTGAAATTAGTATCATTTTTGTCACAATGAAACATTTGTGACCGAATATTCATATATTATGACCGTTGTATCGGTAACAATATACACTTTTTTTTGTAGTGATAGAAGCAAATCAACTGATAAAAAATAGCACAAAAAAACAAACAAACATTTTTATTTATTTTTCTAAAAAGAAAAAACAAACAATTACATAACATAGAAACAGATAGCAGCAATGGGGAAAAATAAAACAAACAAACTTTTTTATTTATTTCTTTTGAAATAAAAAAACAAACAATTACATAACATAAAAACAGATAGCAGCAATGCGAAAAAAAACAAAAAAAGAAAACACAGCAACAAGTCTTAAATGTGATTATAGAAGCAAAGTAAGACTTGTTGGGCATTACAAACATTACATAACATAACATAACATAACATCTGGTTCGTTACGTTGGCCCGTTACGTACGTGGGAGAATAGTATAAAACTATATCATACCGGAGGGAGCTCGAGCTCTGGATCAGCTGTTTCGGGTTGGCTCATGGGCATGGTCTTTGCAAAAGAGAGGTGCATAACGAATATGAACCAACAAAGGCAGAGAATAGCAATAACGAGAGCGAAGATGGGGAAAATAAGGAAGACGAGCATGTCTGCGGCAAAAGTGCCGACAAGATGACTGAGGTTTCCAACGCAGTAATAGATAAGACATGGTTCTCTTCCGAGCTTTTCTTCGCAGAGTATGAGGACGACGTAGATCAGAAAGAGAACCAGGAAACCGCGTAACGCGTCAATACGATCTGCAGATTTCGAGATAATCTGGAGCAGAGCAAGAAGCACTGCATATGCAGCGAAAATGTGCTTGTGGATTGTGGAGGAATACAGAGCATAATCCTTCAACAATTTTTCATTGAGAGTATTCATTTGTAAGCAAGTTAAAATGTTTAGGTTGGTTTAAGAGATTGTGATTTGTGATGATATATATATATATATAGTGTTAAATCATCAATACCAAGTTCCATATTAGCATCGCTTTGAAAATCGACGCTAGAATGAAGTGACGGTAGTTTAAATCATCTTTTTGGCATAAATCTTATATGTTCCATATAGTATCGTTTTCAAACGACGCTAAGATGAAGTGACGAAGCATCATGTTTCCCCAAAGAAAGACTTCTTCAAACATTTCTTCTTCTTTTTTTCTACTCAAAATGAGAAAACTCACATCACTTTTTTTGCGATGCTAGCTTAACATCACTTTTTTTTTTTTGCGATGCTAGCTTAACATCACTTTTTTTTACAATGCTAGCTTAATATCGTTTCAAAAGCTGATGTGGTAGCATAAATTCTGAGCTGGTCATTTTTATTAGGGGGAATTTCAAAAATACCCCTTTTCATATACCTCTTTTTAAAAATACCCCCCTTTCAAACTTTATCAAAAAACCCACTAAAAATGTTGAAATTTATCCAAATATGTGTGTAAGCTTGTAAATATATACACAAATTACCTTTCTAAGTGTATAAAACTTTAAATACCTTTCATAAATAGCGTAAAAATAAATTA